CAGAAAGCTTTATTGATGATAATAACTGAGAGTTCATTTAATTTTCTCAACCACTAAGCTGAATTCAAAGCATCCACCCCCCCCCCCCCCCCCCCCCAACACAGACACACACACATATACATGCACTGTGTTATGTAATATTTATTCTTAATGGTCAGTGACCCGCAATGGACTGTGCTCCACAGTAAAAATCTATGAGGCTTCTGATCAACATATTAAGAAATGAGCTGCTTTTGGGTGATTTTTTTTTAATTGTTTATGCTTTGAATTCAGCTTAGTGGTTAAGAAAATTAAATGAACTCTCAGTTATTATCATCAATAAAGCTTTCTGATTGCTATTTCCACATGTCTAAACATAAACACCAGAAGAGACCAAGAGCTGTTGGCCAAAGACAAACAAGTTTCCCTTTCACAGATAGTGTCAAACAGTCAGAGTCACTCACGTCTGAACTTGTTCTCTTCTAGCTGAGGAAGTCTTATGGAAATGTCTACAGTCTGTTCCTCGGTCCCAAACCTGCCGTGATCATCAACGGGCTGAAGGTCATGAAGGAGGCCATTGTCATTAAGGCCACGGACTTTGCTGGACGGCCTCAGGACATGTTTATTAATGACGTCACCCAGAGAAAAGGTAGACCTGATGCTTCATGGGACAGATGAGACTTGGCTCATGATAATATTAACCAGAGAAATTGCATTTCCTGCAAAAATGCAGCATGAATGTTTTTTTGCAGAAGAACTTGCAGAAATATAACTGAAATTAGCTTTAAAAAAACATGCTGAAATGATAAATGGACTGTACTACTATAGATCTTTCTATCTTATCAAAATATTCAAAGCTCTTTACACTGCAATCTGTGCCCTCATTTACTCATTCATACAGCACTCTACTAGCTCTCTGCAATGATTAACAAGAGCTTTATCACATTCATACACTGATGGGACACACATCAGAGGCAATGAGGGGTTTAGTGTCTTGCACAGGGTCACTTCAGCATGTGACTATGGAAAAACAAGCCTAAATAAGCAGAGTAAAGAAGAAATTACATTTTTTTGCTTAATTAGGTTTAAATAAAGTAGAAATGAGCAAAAAAATGGTAATTTAGCTAAAAAATCTGAAATTAGAAAAAAAAATTGCTGAAAAGTAGCAGAAATGGCAGAAAGTAGCCTAAACTACCAGAAGGAAGCTGAAACAGTTTAAATAAGCTAAAAAATGTAAGATTAGCAGAATAAGCTAAAATAAGCATAAAACAGCTAAATAGTAGCTGAAATAGCAGGAAAGGCTGAAACTAGCAGAAATAAGCTGAAAGAAGCACAACAAGCTGAAGTTAACAGAAAGAAATTAGAAGCACAAAAATGTTGCAGTTAAATGAAAGGATCCGAAAAGAGCACAAAGCAACTGAAAAACAGCTGTAAATAGCTGAAATAAAAATAAAAAATAAACTTTTCCCAAGGAAGCTGAAAGAAGCTTAACCAGAACAAAATGTGAAAGGAGCAGTAAAAGGTTGTAAACAGATATAAAGATTTGAAGGATAAAAATGAGCTTAATTCATTTTCCGAGAAAAAGTATTAAAAAAGGCTAAATATTTTAAAAAGCTAAAAGTTGCACCAATACCAAAAGTCTTATTAGCAAGATTGTCCTGAAAGAGCTTAACATTTTCATATATGATTTATTGAAATAGCACAGAAATTGTGGAATGAGAAAGATGCTGAAAATGTACAGAAGATAAATAGATCACAAGAACTGGACGACACAGAAAGCAGGAAACTTAAAAGAAATGTCTCTTAAAGTACAGTTAAAAAGGTATCATTGCCTAATTTGATCTCAGTGAATAAAAGTGTGTAAAAAGGGAACTATAGATGTTGAATGTATGATATTTTTATGATTGGGAAGGGCCTGATGTTATCAATGAATGCAAAATAAAGTACATTTAACATTTAAATTCAAATGTACATCTCAAATCACTGCAACAGTGGGACAGTTACATCTACAGTTACGTCTTTGTTCTCATAAGAAAAGATACTTAAAAGAAAATATTCTAGTATTACTCACGCTCACTGAGACACAGATCTGTAACTAACTAACTAAAATAAATAAGCTATTTAAGAAGAATTCAATAAAAAGTGAACAGATGGTTGAAATTTTATTTATTTATTTTATTTTTTGAAGAACCAAAGTTTTTTTCATAGGAGGCTTTACAACGGTGCTCTTCAATTAAAAGCGATGTTCAAATTTCTTCAAGAAAAAGTGTATTCAAATCATGTTTTAGTGACAGCCATGATAGCTGTTTCCACTCATCGTATGTTTTTTCAAGTAAAAAATGCACTCTTAAAAGAACTAAAGCAATTTAAAGAGAAGGTTTGTCATTTGATGACACCCACTTTATGTTATATTTGTCACAAGGTGTTGAGTAAAATAAAAATACTGACTCGAACATGAATAAAAATAAGTGAAAAACTGCTAGAAAATAAATAAATGTACTCCAACATTTTTCAGTTAGGTCATCTGGACAGTTTATTTTTATTGTGCTGAAATAAATTTACTGTGTTTTCATAATATTTTATGGCTTTCTTGACTAAAGCTGGTATACTGAAGTAATGTATGCCATTTTTCTTTCTCCACTCCTCTTGACTTTTCTGAATTACTAAAATTTCCAACTTTCCTAAAAGGTACATTACCTTCTGTTTGAAGTAAGTGTTTAATGTTCGTTCTTTGTGTCACTGCTGCTTGGTAGGAGTGATTATGGCGGATTATGGGCAGAACTGGAAGGAGCATCGCCGCTTTGCTCTGATGACTCTGAGGAACTTCGGTTTGGGGAAGAAGTCCATGGAGGACAGAATTCATGACGAGATCCGTTACACAGTTAAAACGTTGGAGCAAAGCGTTGGTACATCCCCTGTCAGTCCACTGAACCACATGTAGAGTGTTGCAACAGTTTCTGTACTGGTGTTTGAGTTTCTGTGGAGTGTTGTCCTAGTTAACTCCTAGTTTGTCCGTTTTAAATATTCCACAGGTGAGACCTTACGTCCTCAGGTGATGTTTCATAATGCGGGCTCCAACATCATCTGCCATGTTCTGTTCGGTACGCGCTACGAGTACGATGACAAGATGATCAAAACCATCGTTCAATGCTTCACGGAAAATTCCAGAATAGCCAACGGCCCATGGACCATGGTGAGTCTGTAAGGTGCTCAAACCGAGTCAGATCCTGGATTATGACCGATGATATGTCTAACATTTCTTCACAATATTTACAGGTCAGCTGCAGCTCCAAGTAGGTTTTCCTATGGACTGTTGATTCTTTATGTTTCCACCACAGATCGAGGATCTGAAATACATTCAGGAGAAAAAACATCCTAAGTTTGTATTTCACTCGGCTTGGACTATCCATCCATCCATCCATTATCTTTTACCCACTTCTTCTATTTTGGGTCACGGGGGTTGCCAGTGCCCATGTCCAGCAATCACTGTACGAGGGACGGGGTACACCCTGTACGGGTCACAAGTCCATCACAAGGCCACATAGAGACAGATGAGACAAACAACCATTCACTCTCTCATTCACACCTAGAGACAATTTAGAGTTACCAATCAGCCTAACATGCATGTTTTTGGTCTGTGGGAGGAAACCAGAGTACCTGGAGAAAACCCACGCATGCACAAAAAGAACATGTAAACTCTACCCAGAAAGGCCCCCGGACCAAGATGTGAACTGGCAACCTTCTCGCTGAGAGGCAGCAGCTCTACCAGTTGTGCCACCGTGTTGCTGGGCTTAGGCTAGTTAAAGACAAAAAATTAAAAATTTTCACTTTGATTCAATCTGTACTGAAAATAGGATTGCATTCATAAGTAACTGAATAAAATGTGACAATTGTAAATTCATCAAAATATGCCAATTTTTTTGGTTGCAGTTAGGCCAAAAAATGATGTCTTAATTTGTTCACAATTTATTCTCTCTGCTGTCTTCAGTCACAGATTGGGTCCATTGGTCTCTAAACCTTCAGTGTCTCACTGGGCGTTTGCTGCTGAACCCCACATGTGACAAAGTCTCCAAAATATCTCCATACATTCTCAAGGGGGTTCTCAGTTTGTTTTGAAATCGTCGTCTCTTTCACAGACAGTCTTCTCTCTCGAAATTAGATTAAGTTCAGAAATTTTATGCAGCAGTTGTTGCAGGTGACTCAAATCTATTGAAAGTTTGTTATGGGTCTCTCCAACTTATCTCAAGAGTCAGAGCTGGGTTTTGACTCTTGCTTTGGAGCTCTCCTCTGACAGAAATATGGAAGTTCTTTAGGCTTTAAGTGACACATGTAAATATGAATGTTTTTTGTGTTTTTTTTAATATAATGTTGTCATGAACCAGAGGCCGGATCGCAAACAACAACAACAACCACTGAGAGGGTTAAAAGATTTATTG